AGGGTAGGCTGTCCCGCTGAGGCACGGGTCCAGTGCAGTGATAGGGTAAAAGAAATGGACAATAAATAAAAAATAGAAATGGGGACGTGGACAGAGGTAGATGTAGAAAGAAAATTTCTAGAAGCGACGGGGTACGAGAAACATAGGCAAGAGCTAACAAATAGGGACAGGGAGACAGAGAGAGGGAGATGTAGAAAGAAGGTGTAAAAAGTGACAGGGTACAGGACAGAGAGGGAAGAAATAGAGGCAGGGCGATGGATAGAAGGAGACACAGAAAATTTTGAAAGTGACAGGCTACCAGAATCCTACGTGAGAATGAAAAAAATGGTAGACAGCTGCATAGAGGGAGACGTAGGAAGAAAATCTGAAAAGCAATGGGCAAGAAAAACACTGGCAAGAAATTACAGGTGGGTCAGGGAGACAGGGAAAGCTATCAAGAAAATGTGAAAAGCAACTGGGTTTGAGAAACATATCCAAGAATCCTAAAGATAGGGATGGAGAGGCAGAAAGTTTCACAAGCAATGGGGTAAAAGAAACACAGGCAAGCATTAAAAAATAGGGACAGGGTACCTGATAGAAGGAAACCGTGGTGGGTTGACTTTGGCTGGCCGACGGGCACCCACCAAGCCCTTCTATCGCTTCCCCTCCTCAATAAGGCAGGGGTAGAAAATACAACACAACAGCTTGTAGGTCAAGGTAAGGACAAAGCAATCACTCACCAATTACTGTCACAGGCAAATCAGACTCAAGCTGGGGAAATTAATTTTATTTATTGTCAATCACAGTCAGAGTAAGACAATGAGAAATAAGAACAAATCTAAAAACCACCTTCTGTCCCGCCCCACTCTTCTTTGCTGAGCTCATCTTCACTCCCGACTTCTCTACATCCTACCCCAGAGCAATGCAGGGGGACAGGGAGCAGAGGGCACGGTTAGTTCACCACACGTTGTCTCTGCTGCTCCTTCCTTCTCACGCTTTTCTTTGGCTCCAGCATGGAATCCCTCCTACGGGGCCACAGGCGCTGACAAGAGTCAGCTCCAGCACAAGCTCTCCACAGGTTCACAGCTGCCTTCAGGCACAGGCACTTCCTCCTGTGGCATGGGGTCCTCCATGCTCTGCATGGGGACAACCTGCATCACCATGGTCTTCCTCACGGGCTGCAGGGGAATCTGCTCCCATCCCTGGAGCACCTCTTCCTCCTCCCCCTGCATCTTCACTCACCTGAAGAAGCCTGGGAACATTTTGATAACAACAATGGCGATGAGCCTGGGCTGGCAGATGGCCAGGGCATCGCTGCTTCTTCTGGGCTGCTGTACCAGACAGGCTGGAACTCCAGTGTGAGCTCAAGTCGAAGGGACTGTGACCTGTGCGCGAGTCCGTGTGGGAGCTGGACACCCCAAAGCGTCTGTGGCCGTGGATAAGCCCATGCCAGAGCAGGCACATCTCGAGCCATCTGTGCTGTGGTTATGACCATGCCACAGCAGGTCTACCTCTGAAGGGATGGTGGGCCAAGGATAAGTCCACACTGGAGAACGTCCACCTCGAGGCATCTGTGGCTGTGGATAAGTCCATGCTGCAGCAGGTACACCTGGAAGCATCAGTGGCTGTGCATGAGGTCATGCTGGAGCGCTGCAAAGCACATGGCCATGGAGCAGGTCACCCCTGGAGGGATTCCAGCCATAGGTAAGGCCAGGTTGCAGCAGGTCTACTTCTGAAGGGACTGCAGCTGTGGGTAAGGCTATGCCGGAGCAGGTCTATCTCTGAAGGCATCAGCAGGCATTGTGGCACCGTTAGGGGGGCCCTGAACGGGCCAGAGAGACCAAAGGTGGCTCAGGCATCCAAGGAGGAAGTCTGGAGGGCATTAGAACAGAGTACAGAGGTCCTTGGGGACAGCAAGGACCAAATGGAGGCACCCTGGATGGCAGGCAGGATGGCGAGACAGCGTCAGTGAGGGGCAACAGGGCCCCAAGGGCCTGTGACTCACCACAGCTCTTGCGCTGACAGGAGAATTTGATAGTTCAGACGCTTCCTTCTCCTTCTCTCCTCCCTTCCTCTTTCATAACTCCGGGCTCTTGGCTGTCCTCCACCTAAGAGAATACCTCTGCACCAGAGCATAGCGCCTCGCTCCTTGCCACTCCCGCCGGCAAGCGTGGCGCTTGCCCTTTGCTGCCTGCCACACGCCCTGCGGGGTAGGCTGGACGGGCTGCTCTGCCGGTGCGTCAGGGGAGCGGCTCGGGTCCCTTGCCTGCCTAATTTGCCTCCTTAGAACAACCACTTCAACACTCGGGCTGTTTCAGACCCCTCCAAAGATCGCCTGGCCTGCAAGCCCTTCTCAGCTAGCAACACAGCTGAAATACGGCGCTGGTGGAAATCTAGCTGTCCTCTTGCTGTGATGACAAAAGGCTTTTCTAACTTGAACCCCTGACGGTTTGGGCATCGAGGCTGCGAGGTGAGAAATACCCCCGTACTTGAACAAGGGAGGCGCCTGCCCAAGAGCTGCACGCAGCCACCCCTGCCCGCCTGCGACCAACACCTTTTTCTGCTAAAGCCAGAGCCCGGTTCCCTGGGAAGACCCACTGGCAGCACAGAAAGGACCTCAGCTTTCCCCGCACCAGGGCCCCAGGGAACAGCGTCTCGGGGCGACCGGAGCATGCGGCAGCCTCCTGTCGTCCCGGCTCCTCGCCCTGGAGAAAGCGGCTGCCCGTAGCAGCGGCAGAACCGCTGCTGCCCAAAGGGGAAAGGAAGGAGACTCGGTGGGAAGCTCTCCAGGCTGCCC